TAATCCCGTATAGAATGAATGCATAGTTGCTGTTAAAAAATCGTATCATATCAACTGTCTCACCTCGCATTACCGACTATATTGTATAGAGGGTTAATCGAGATCAATTTCTCTGATTGAATACCGTGATATGAGCCAGTGTGTAAACGTAGTTATTTATGTGTCTTCTGGTTTGTTTGCTATGTATTATTATTGCTAGTAGTAGTTTTTTATTATTCCCGAATGCTGACTGACCTGGAGGTTAATTATTGGAGACTGCTTTTCAGACGTCTTTAGGGCTTGCTGCTATAATTATATGACGTATGTTCAACCCACAAGACTTACTAAGGGTGCCATATCTGTTTCTGCCTATCTAATTCGGGACTAGGTAATACGAAGTCATGGACTCACTGAAAGTGAAGTGCTATTGAATGAACAAGCAAGCTACCTTCGTTCAATGTTTGATTTGTATTTGAAAATGGAGTGCATATTAAATGGATTATTTTTAGTTAGTTTAGTTACTAACTATAAGCCCAACTAATTGAATAGCACTGCCATAACGGACTTCGGCTAAGCCAGAAAAAATGTAACTGTCAGTCGGAACAAACTGTCTTTTATATAGATATGACATATTTTGTAGTACACCCATTGAGATAACTTGAAAAGCATTCGATGGACAAATACTGGCAATTAACTAAAAGAATTTACCTAAATAATTATGTCAACACTTGACCTTCAGGCAGCCGGCGTTCAGGAATTTAATAGAAAGGTCGCTAACAACAACAATCATTAATATTATTTTCATCGAGCGAGAGAGAGAAACTTGAATGTATGTAGCTTTGCTTGGGTGGGTCAGAGTTTAAACGTGGGTGAATATCGTTCTGATTTGCTTGGCATTGTGTGGGTTACATTCAACAGTTGGCATATATATTGTCGTGATCCGCTTATAGGTGCGTACTGTTTGGAGGTGTATACTTGGGGTCATTTTGTGTGCATCATTAAGTCCAAACTAAAGGTAGATGCATTTATTGTTAAATTGCCTAAGATTGTGTTTAACTCACTTGAGTAGATTAATAAGTAACAAGAAACCAATAGTAGCTTAAAGAAGTGAAGTATTAGCTAATTAAATTTGATAGATTTAAGTAGTATTATTCCTATAGATTGATATACAATAAGTTAAGCACACGTTATGCTTAATAAGTAGGTTAGTTAGTATAGGTGTGAAGGAGTTTAGAATTCTAAGTGTCAACACATTGGATAGCTAAAGACCAGTTGGTATGCACACGATTTGCAACGCTTAAGATGTAAACTCTGGCAACATTTATCTAAAAATAATACAATGCTTATCTACTTTTTCTTTGTTTTTTCGTTAGATATTATAAATCTTTGACATGCGTCCAATTTTTTTTTCATTTTTATTTTCATTATTTGTTTGTATTTGATTGGGAAAACATTTATTGTTTGTTTGGACACCGTTTTTTTTTTTTTTAGTGTGTGATAAATTTTAGTATTTTTGTTCTTCCTCTTGGTTGCTGGTTGTGCTCTAACTACTGCACTTTGTGCAGTCAATATTTTTGTTTTGTTTTCTTTGAATGTAAGTAAGTATAGTTGTAAAGTTGAAAGCTTTTTCTTGGTTGTTTCAGCTAAGGTACCAATTTGCTACAGGTTGTCTAAGTGTAAGTGGAAATTTGTTTGCACTCTCTCTTGGTTCTTGTTCTAACTTTTGCTTCAGCCCTTAGGGCCAAGCCAGATTGAAGATCTGTTGAGAATTGTTGTTTGTTGTTGTTGGAAGACTACAGCTAAGTAAATATATATGTGTATATACTTAGATACATACATACACATACCAGAAAGTGAGTGTGTAGTGGTATAGACCAGATCTAAGTGAAGTAATACTCTGAAGTTCCAATTCTAGTTCCAGCTTTTGTTGCTTTAGGTTTAAAAATTCAGTGAACTCTTCGGGTTGCCTTCTAATTATTAAAATAAACTATTTATATGTTATTTTTTTCTTTTGTTTTTTAACAATTGTTTTTATGCTTGTTCTTGCTAAAACTGTACTGCCTAATAGGTTTATGTGTGTGTGTGTGTGTTCTATGACTTATGCCTACTTATAAAATACAATACACCAATATACTTGATAAATATTGTAATTGTATTGCATTATTTGATCCAAACATACATTTATTGTATATTGTAATGTATATTTACACATTCTCTCATTTAGTCATGATAATAGTTAGTACTATAACTAAGCATTTGATTTGCGTTTTCTTAGTGTTTTTCTCTTGTTTTTTTTTTTTTTTTCTTCTACATTTTGTATAGTTTTGCTGGTCCAATTTATGATTTTTTTTGTCAACATTGATTTAATTTGATTTGTTTTTCTTTTTCCTTCACCAAGATCTTGCTTATTGTTTAACACACAATTTTATAAGTACATTGTACATGTCCAAATACATATACACGTGTGTATATACATATGTATGTATATATAGATACGTCATGCATGTCTATTGTGAATGCATCGTCTATGCAGCTTTGCCATAAAGGTCTTAAAGAATCTATTCGGAGTGTTTGTTCTGTTTTTTTTATTTATTATTAAAGTTGTTAATTGGCCTTTTAATAGCAACAATAGAATACAACAACAAAATAGAAAAGTTGCTGTATTTAATACGGAATTATGACAAACGGGCTCTTCGATTTTATTGACCGACGTGTGCTGCATGCAATACAGAAATCCATTTTATCTCAATTACATCAGGGTTTGTCAATTTGATGAATTTGTTAACAAATAAAACTTGTTGAATAATATTACAGATTGATGCATTGTGGCTTTCAAAGCACAAATTTAGAAATTGCTGACACGACATAAGGTTAAGCTATTGGATTTATCTGATAAAGTGTTTTCTTCAAGTAATTCTCTGGGCTCAGCTATTAAATGCTAAGTTCTAGCATTTCTTTTCCATCAAATCTACGTTTGATAGAGGTTATGCTTTCTATAAAACAAGTCAAGTAGCTATTAATAATCAGCACCATAACTTGAAATAAATAAATTAATAAAGGGAAAGATCTGCAGACACTTGGTATCAGTTTCATTTCGTACAAAAAACAGCTGTGCTTTCATTGCGATTACTTTTTATAACTTTGGGGCTTTCCGTTTTTTGATTAGTTTGTAGTTTGTTGTTGTTATTGTTATAAAGTTTACGTTACGCATGCAGTCGTCGTTGAAAATTATATTGCATACTTTTTTGGGCTCGCCCGGCAGACCAAATCCATTCAAAATAAATATTAAACATGGCGCATGTCTATTGCGTATGCATAGGCCGATCAAGCGGCATGGCAATCCAAAAACTTGGCTTTGATGCAAATTGTGCATTGAGAATATTTAGCTGGCTTTGCACTGCCTCTATCTGTGTACATGTGTGTGTCTGTGTGAATTTCTGTGTACGTGTGTGTAGCACAAGTGACAAATATAAACACGTCCACACTTTTGGCCATAATTGCATATTTATGGCCATTTCGTAGGTAGTTTGACAATTCGCGTTCAATTTTAAAATCGCATTTATTACATTGTTCATATTTCAGTTTGTTGTTATGCAAATTTCTGTTGTGAGTGTTTGCATGTGTGTGTGTGTATGTGTGTAGGTGTGTGTGTTAGGGCCAGCAGCACATCAAGCAGTCGGCAGGCAGCAGCAACAACGGCAGAATAAATGGTAATAAATGAAAGAGATAGAAAGAGAAAGAGAAAAAAGAAAGAAAACACATATTTTAATTGGCATACAAGAATTTCAATTTCATGCGTCTATGTATACACTAGCTTGTGAGTGTGCTCGTGTGTGTATGTGTTAGTGTGTTTGTGTGTGTAGCACAAAAGAAAACAACAACAAATCATATCAGAAAAAGTACCAAAACAGATAGCAATAACAGTTAGCAAAAGGTAACGAGCAATTGCATCCATTATTTTTGTTTATATTATTTTTGTTCTCTCCGTGTTCATTTCCCAGCTCTTAATGCACAGCCGAGTTTTAGTTCTTGCTCTTAGCGACTAGCGACACTTGAACAAATACAAATCGTACACACATAAAATATACATACATGCACACACATATATACATACATGTGCATTTACTGTTGAATGAACTGTTCCCAACGTAGCGGTACACAGTAAAAAGACTTTGACAACAGTTTGATTTCATGATGAACATGTATGCTTTGTTACACTTTACTACATTTAAAAATTAACTCTCTTAATAAATGACAAAATATACGAAATTAAGAGCGCGTTTGGTTTAATAACAATTATATTGAAATTTATTTAAAATCTCAATTTAGTCAATTTAAACAAAAGTTGATTTAATGCAAATTTCGCTCTCTTATCTTAGGAAAAACACAAAACAATATAATTTAATATACATGAAATTAACTCATTCAGAGTAAATGACATAAAAACGATGCAAATCTACAAACCGTTAAAAATATGTAACACACATTTAATTTTTAATATACTAACTCTAACTTAGAAAGTTAAATAAATTAGCTGGGACAATCACAGTTGCCTGCAAGGCTGCATAGAGTAGATGCTGTACTAGTTCCATTGCAAATGTCCTTTTGAACGTATGCGAGTAGAGTTTAGTAATTTCTTGTTCCTACACTCGTACTTTTACATAAGAAAATTTCCAATTTTTGAAAACGACAGGCTTCCAGGCAATTGTGAATGACCCAAATGCATTTTTTAGGCGTTACACCACACTACAATATTTCACATATCTATTCACAGTATCTTAGAAAATTTCTAAATATTATTTATAATAACATTTAATAGAAAATTAATTTAAAAATATATTGAAAGATAATGGAAATAATTGAAATATTATAAAATGTCAGGCAGCACACATACATAGATAAACACACACTGGGACACCTAAAGATATATGTATATGTGAATTAGAGCTCTCTAATTTAGGCTTTTGAGCAATTTGTCGGACCTTATTCATTAGTTTATTAAGTAGTTAGTACATCTTTGATTTTCTAGTTGCTAGTAGCATGGTCTTGTTTTCCTTTATTTATTTATTTTTTTTTATACTTTTGTTTTACAGTTTAAAGTAGTTTTAATTTTCATCACAGCTAACGTCAATTTTGGTTTTTAACTATTTTTTGTTTTCCATCTTTTTTTGTATTAAACTTGTCGCCGATTTGGGGATTTTTAAAAGAAATGAAAAGCAAAAATGAACACAACATTTTAATAAGATTTTAAATTTTATTCTTTTGTTCTAAGACTTTTATATTATTTTTTTTGGTTGATTAAAATTAGTTAGATTGTAGCTATATTCTGTTATACATTTGAGTTTATATTTAGTTTTTAACACTATAACACATTTTACATTATTTTTCAACATCAATTTAACATACACATACATTTGAGTTTTCTCAGATCCTGAATCGGATCTATGTGTGAATTTTTAATTATTATTATTATTATTATAGTTTTTGCTGTCCATACGCCTAGGTAGGGGAAAAAAAAAAAACATCATACAATATATGTACTCGAGTATAACCACACATGTCTATAATTACAGTACATTGAATGTGTATCTTATAAATTTAAACACTTGAGTTGTTCTCTTCTATTTTGTTTAATATTAGCTCTATGCCAAAATCTCGTTCTACTCAATTTCACCATATTTCGTATAACATACCTTTAGGGGCCGCGACGAAATGCATTGGCGAAATTCAGCATAAAAAAGAAAGTTTTTTTTTTTGGGTTTGTTGTTATTGTTTGAACGTTCATGCAATTACGAAACCCAAGTTTCATAAAGTCTGGGAATATACTCAGGCTGATTTTATAGGTACTCACTGACGGCGAGCGTTAGCTGGAGTTGACGACTACAAATGTGTAAATGCCTATTAGCAGGAGACACCCTGCTTGGCCACCGTATACCATGTGCTAACCGTCACCAGAGATGGTGAATCTGGCGTATTGGGTAGCTCCGTGTTCCCATGATCAGCAATCCCATTGCTTTCCAGGGTTTGCGTTGCCGAATGGCCGCCATCGGGCGGCAACGGCGGTGGCAGCGACTCGGGCGTTGCTGTTTCGGATGCTGCGGCAGCAACTGTTGTTGACGTTGCTGCAGCTGCAGTTGCAGTTGCTGCCGATGATGATGCAGCTGCTCCTCCTTGTACCGGCTTGCGATTGTTTCGCTGCTTATGTTTGTTTTTACTCTTGGCTGGTTTGGGCGGTGCCGCCGCTGGCTGGCCACTTGGCGTCTGACTAGCCTGGCAGAGCTGCTGCGGATGATGGAAGTGCATGGGCTGTGGTGTATGCAGGTCGCGACCCACCTGAGGGCCCACCTGCGGACAGCGAAAGCGTATGGCCTGCTCGTTGGCAACGCTCAGTTGCGGCCAACGCGGCTTGCTGTTGGCATCCAGATGTGGATGCTGGTGGGGATGATGCCGTTGCCTGCTCTTGCTTCGTTTGCGCTGACGTGTTTTCGAGTGTGACTTGCGCAGGCGCAACGCTGGCATTTGGCGTGAATGCAGCTCCATTTGTGGCCGCAGGCAGTGTCGGCAAATGGATTGACTGCGCTGAGGCAGACCCAGCAGCAGCTGTTCGCCATTCTCAAAGTTATCCAAGTCCGCATCGTCATCATCATAATATTCATCGTCATCATCATCACCACCATCATCATCATCATCATCATCATTATCATCATCATCATCATCATCATTGTCCTCATCATTATCGTACTCAAACTCCGCCTCATTTTCTTCAAGCTCTGGTTCATAGTCGCGGCGAGGCCTGTGATTAGTTTTGCATTTGCTATGGTTGTGGCTGTTGTGATGTTTTTTGCTTGTGCAGTTGTTTGTTGTTGTTGCTGTGGTTGTTGTTGTTGCTGTTGTTGTTGTGCTGGCGCCATCTATGTCAATGACATGACAGCACTTGGCTGCCGTCTGGTGTCTTGTGCTATGTGTTTGTTGCATTTGTTGTTGTTGTTGTTTCATCTTGTAGTTTGACTTACGTTTCTCTTGCTCCATTTGTTGATGCTGTTTGTGCTGTCGCTGTTGTTGTTGTTGTTGTTGATTATGTTGCTGCTGCTGTTGTTGTTGTTGTTGTTGTTGCTTTTGTTTTTGCTGCTGACTGCGACTACGTCGACGTCTGCGTACCGTATACTCATCGCCCTTGTCAGTCGGATATGGTCAGAATGCTGTATCAAAGACGGACATAGATCTGGATATGGCATCATCATTTCGACACGCCTCCAAAAACTCCTCCAGCGTCACAACGCCATCGCGATTAATGTCCATTTTCTGTTGAGCATTAAATAGATGTATTTTGTATTAGCAAAAAATTGAATTAACCAATTTAACGGGCATGAGAGAAAGTTGAACGATGTCCTCGCTTCTATCTATCAACATGCTTTTAAAGATGCGCTCATACAGTGCTGTTTGTTTAGTTAGGTCTTAACTGTCTTGAGAAACGAAGCATTAATTTAAGGATGCCTTAAAGCACATAATAATGACAAATATCTGGTTCAGTTGTGTCCCCTTGTTCCCCATCCGTATAGAGGGCAAAATGAGGCATTCAACAGGACCACAGCCGCTAATGACAATGCGTGACTGGCAAGCCAAACGAACCAGAGAACAGGCCAGTCCATGACCGTCCAGGACAGTGGACATTGAAATCTAAAGAGAATATAACGATAGACCGCGTGACGACTATGTCCCGACTCTGTCCCAGTATGAGCGACCATTCGAATGTGATGTCCTGGTCTGTGCTGTGCTGTGCTGTGCTGTGCTGTCTGGCGAAATGGCCAACAAAAGAAAAATACATAATTTGATTTGCATAATGCAGAGTAAATAAGCCGACAGTTTGAGGCGAGCGCAAATTGAAATTGCATAATTAACATAAGTAATGCGAATTGTGCTGCAAAGCTGAACTGAGCTTAAGTTAAAGTTGCAAACAGGCCAAGTCGTTTTTTTGTGAATGGGACAACATTGTGTATGGGCATTCACCTGAAAGATTTGCTCCACCTTGCCCTTGATCTTTTCCTCCTCGGGGCATTCGTCGGGCAGGCGGCCCATTAGCTCGTATATGGCAGTCACAATGTCAGTCATTTCTTCCCTCGTAATGAAGCCGTCGCCATTGATGTCGTATAGCGAGAAGGTCCAGCGCAGTTTCTCCTCCACGGAACCGCGCGACAGTATCGAAAGTCCTTGAACGAAATCCTGCAGTAAATGAAAAATAAGTCAACATTAATATACATTACGCATTACAGAGGCGGATACACATACAAGATAAAGAACCCTGCACCCACAGATAGATTCTCAGATACAGTAACAGATATACTGAGACAGATACAGATACTGACACAGATACATCTACTGAGACAGACAGGTGCGCGATACGGACAACAAATGAAATGGAAAATAGGTTTTACACAAAAAAAAAAAAAAAAATAAACAGAATGGCCATAAGTCGCAGGCGCACTTCAATCCCCCCACTCGAGTCGAGTTAAGTCGAGCACCGTCCGGCTGATAGCTGAAACTGGAGCTAAAGATTTCACAACATAAGATGCAGCTGAAGTGGACATTTATATCAGCAATTTGTATGACAAATGTGCCCAGATAAGAGCTGACAAGTGGAAGAAGTTGTACAACTATGTCAGCGGGACACGGACTCCGCTTTCAATATCGGTATTCAACTCGACCTGAATCTGGAATGCAGCTAAGAGTCAGTTTTACTTGGTTATACTCTGAACCTATTAAAGGCTGTTCAGTTGAATACATACGCCAACTCAGAGACCAAAAAAGCTATAGAAATTTAAATTTCGAATATAACTTTTGTCACATAAAGATTATTGAATATTTTTCGATAGCTCAACACGTTTCGACAAATCGATAAAGATTTATAAATATTAAAATCTCCGACAGACCCCCATCGGGATATCTGTATATCTGGTAAAGAGTGTTGCTTAGTCGTGCACTCTGAGCTGTAGACGAGCTAAAGTACGTGTTTTTCTAGTTGTATTTGAGAAACATTTCGCCCATTTGGACAGTTGCACAGAGCGCTTGGCTAATTTATCAATGTGCAGGCGACGTGACAGGACCAACCAAAAAAGTGCCGCTGCCTACTTTCGGGCGTTGCATCCCCGACGCTGACAAATGCGTGCAGTCAGAAACACGAATGAAACTTGCCGGATTCCCTCTTAGCTGCGTTTATAAATGAGCAAGCGAAACAAAACGACAGTGCTATGTTAGGAAGATGTAGATTTAAAAAGAAAAAGAGGGTATATATATAGACAAATATAGAGACGCTCCTCGATAATATATATATTTATATCTGAGTGGGTTTATATAGCAAGGGCCAGTCCAAACTAAAGTTATTGGCTGAACAACTTTTTTGTATATCAAGATATGCTTACTAAGCATAGAGTTGTGTCGTTTTGTTCAGACCAAGTTCGATTGAACCGGGTCATTAAAATGAACTACTGAACTAATTCAGTGATTACTGAACTAAATCGGTCATTTTGTTCACTCGTTCAGCTATTCAGTTGGTCATGAACGTTGTGTGCTGTAATTTTGGATACTTGTTCAGTCGGTCATGAACGTTGTATGCAACTCAGCAGTACCGCCATTCCTGATACATTCCTTTCAGATGTTTAGTTCTAAATAAACATAAAAGATAGCGTGATTTTAATTTCACTGTTGTTGGTACGATAATAAGTAAAAAGTATAACATATATTTTGCAACTGAAAACTTGAAATATAACTGAACAGAAATAATATCGTTCATGATTGACTGCATAACTGAACTAAGCGAATAGTTCTTGACCAACTGAATAGTTGAGCAGAATTCATCGTTCATATGGCTATATGCCCTTAATTGACGTACATTCACACCAGATCCCAACTCTTACAGTTTTGTACAGGGACTCAAGTCAGGTCACACCAGATTCCTACTCTTTCAGCGCTGTACAGATACTCAAGTAGTGCACTTGTCAGAACATTAGCTAGTTGAGTCGAAATAATAATAATAACAATCCCATTTCTGACATGCATTAAAATCTACACAATGGGAAATCGTTTTCAAATTAGTCAAAAATTTGTGACTTACAATTTGTTTGGCGATTTTTGCATACTTCTATGAATATATACCAGTGTATACATATATGTAAATTATACGCTGTGCTTTCTAATGCATTTCTATTATTTTTGACTCAACAACAAGTTTGTTGTTTTGCACTTGAGTGTTTGTTGCTGTTGTTGTTGGTTGGTTAGTTGTTGTTGTTGCTGTTGCTGTTGTTGTCTGGTCACAACGTTGGCAATTTAATAAAAGGAGCTGTCGTGCAAATTGTGCATAAAACACCTTGCAACAATATGTGAGCTTAATTGAAAAGCGGAAGTCTACTTAGTCAGCCGTCATTCGACACACGCTCGCACCGAGTCCGTGGCAGAGGCAGAAGCAGAGGTGGAGCTGCTCTTTTGCGGGGCTGGGATGTGCTTGCATACATATGAATGTATGTGCGTGTGTGTGTGTGTGTGTGTGTGTGTGTGTACATGTGGTTTATAAGGCGAACGTGCCTTGTAGTCATTACAATTTTAGGTCATTATTCACAAACGAAAATGGCGGCCAGGCAAAAAGGCAAAGGCGAAGCTCGCGAGGGGCCTTGTTCCATTGCCAGATAAGCGACTGTCTCGCAGTAGCTAGTATGTGTGTATATGTGTGTGTATGTGTTTGTATATAGGTGTGTATCTGTGTGTGTGTGCGCCTGGCTGTATAAATGCAGCAGTTGGCTGCCTTTTGTTTGGCCTGTCTTTGCTTTATATCGCACTTGTGTCTTGGCTTGGTCACCCCCTCCCCCAGCGATCTCCCCCTGGTGAGCGTTGGCGTTAAAATCGCCATAATTCATCGTTTCAATGGCGTTGCCAGCCAACACGTGCTGCCATTGTGCTGGGCGCTGTCGCAGCTAGCCCCCTATCCACCAAACCCGGAAACCCTCTGCAATCCTCATATTTGGCATAACCAATAGGCGTGGCTCTTGGGCCGGAAGTGAAGTTCATGCTCGGACGTTGGCAGCGAACAAAACTGCAAAATTATTTGCAATTTGCATGCGAAGAGTGCTGCTGGCCACGGCCCTCCCCACTTTCCACCCAACGCCCTCTTTAGGCGCCACCATTGCCATTTGCCACGTTTTGCATGCGCATATTTATTTGATTTCCGTTTCTCTTCTTCTGTTCGCTTTGTTCGCCTGCAATAGAAATGTTGACAATGACAGCAGCAGCAGCAGCAGCAGCAGTTGTAGTAGTAGTAGTAGCAGTAGCAGTAGCAGGAGCAACAACGACTCCAACTGCAACTGCAACTGCAACTGCAACAGCGACAGCTACATGAACACCGCACGCGAAAGCAGATTGAGATAGGCGTCTACAGCAGCACCGCCCACAACAGCCGCACCACTCCCCGTCGCGCTTGTCACCCACTTGTGCTGCATTTTATTTCAATTTTGAGACATTTCACTTGATTTTTTGGCTTTTGTTTCGCTCGTTCTGCCATTTCCACTTTGGCCGCTGGCGAAATACCCAAAACGCCCGCCACCGCCCCGGCAAGCAGGCAATGCTAAATAAAATGGAAATGAAAATGAAAATGGAAATGCCAATGATTGTTTTTACTTTGTCTTTTATTCAGTTTCTGGCAGCTGCACATTACACAAAATTGCAATTGAAATATCCAAAATAGCGTTGACACGTGTTAACTATGTTACACATGTTATTCGCAGATTACGGAACCAGTAAGTCATTGTAAGTTGCTCCTCACAAAGTAAACTGGTTTATTATTGGATTAAAAGCATGGTTTCTAGCAGATAACATATTTGCTTGCATTAAAATATTAACAGAGCTTTTCACCTATTTGTATGCGCTGCATTGTATAGTATTTCCATTGATTTTGTGTAAGAAATGGCATATTAGCTTAGTTGCGGGCTATCTATATTTTATTTTGAACAAGTCTCCAGTAGGGTCGCTTAGAGTGAACGCTACTCATATAATTGAGTGCAAGACTAAGATATACGCTAAGGCATTGCGAAATCAAAAATATCTATACAAAATAAATCTAAGCAAAAGTAATATGAGATAAAAATCTCTTCTCAGATTCAAAAGAATCTGTCGATTACAAATCAAACTTTTAGCAAAAAAAGTAGCAAAAGTGTTTCGAGAAGTAAAAGAATTTAAGAAACAAAGTATCTGTAGGCTAGAAAAGTATCTGTGAGATACAAAAGTGTTTTCGCTATTCAAAGTTTCTGTGCGATGCGAAGGTGTTAGTAAGAGTCAAAAGTAGCTCTGAGTTATCAAAGTATTTGTGAGATGCAAAACTGTTAAATACAACTGTTTCTGTCAGTTAAAAGTATTCAAAACAAGTAAAAGATACAAAAGTATCTGCAAGCTACAAAAATATTTGTGAGAAACAAAAAGCTAGCGCACCTTTGGAAACATGTCTAATATATATACGACTGTAGATAGTTTGTAAAAATACAAGTTTGAAATGTTTTTCAACCTAAACAATAATAATGACGGTTTTTAAATAGCGTAGAGCCGTATTTCAAGCAAAACAATTTGAACATGTATGTACTTTAAAAACCATTGTATGTACTATTTATAGAGAAAGACTGAGAAAGTGAAAGAAAGAGAGCTGTATATGTATATGTATGTTTAGCTGCTCGTCGAGTTTGTTCTTATTTATCTCTCGCAAATTTGAGCGCTTCTAAAGTAAATCAGTCGCTGTCTGCTATAGTCCTGAGTCCTGAAGTTTTCGCCTCTTATCAATGACACGCATTTCTCAGGGCTCAAGTTGGCCAAACTTTTGCGCTACAGTAAAGCACAGTGGAATTGACTGACGATAAGACCATAGAGATTTATAAATTAAAATAGAGTGCCGAAGTACTTATCCCATGCGCAGAATTTTGACGTGTAACTAGAACTTTGCTTATTACAAACTCAAAGCTGTAGCCGGTAGCACTTAATAGAGCGCTGACATCTAACCAAAGGACTTTCACAGTTGTTGCCTTCTGCTGCCTTCTGGCTGCGCGCATTGCTACGAAACCGCAGCTAAATGAGCTGCTCTATACGCGTCTTGTCCCAGACTGCGGCTGCGACTGCGGGTTGACGTTGTTGTTTCGCCTTTGAAGCATTTTGCAGCATCATTTGGCGCCAACCACTCAACCACCCCCTCAAAGTACACACACACACACACAGAGTCAGTGGGCAGCGTGAAGCACATCGCTTATGATGCTACTCGACTGTGTCGTGGAATTTCAGCTCAACTGTCAGCCATATTTTATGCTTAAAATGTCTAAAGTAATTTCATTGTACTTAAGCGCTTTTTGCTGCCGTTGTTGGGGCTGCGTTTTGAGGGTTGGGGGTTGATGGTTAGGGGTAGGGGGTTATGGATGCTTTGGCTGCCGTCTCACTTGGCTGACCACTGAGCCCACCCAACCAACAAGCATTAAGCAAAACAGCGAAATTTTCGCCCACTTATTGTCCGGCTGGCCAGTAAGAGAGAGGGAGTGTATACAAGTATATTAAATTGAATTATTCGGCAAGTGCTTAGGCGCATTAAAATGTTCAAATATCTCATTTGCCAACATTAACTTGGCGCATAACTCTTTACAAGTCCAAAATGAAATCTGTTCTTTGCTTGTTTTACCATAAATTATAAAAAATCAGCCAAAACTGTTTGACTTCTCTGTTTCTTGCACCTCATGCACTTTAAAACTCGCACGCTTACTTTAACCTATTCGGTTGCCGCTTAACCACTTTGTAGCGTTTAAGACCTGTTCTAAAGTTGTACTTAAACTGATCCCAACTTATGGCAACATCATTGCAGACCGTCTTAAAACTGTTTTTATTGACCGCAAGCTCTGGCGGAATCTTTGCCATAACGAGTCGCAATGAAATACTCGTGCATGGTCATGGTCATGGATATACACAGTAGAAGATAACGGGTCGCTCCATCACTCTTATACAAATAGATTTGCCCGACTTTCAAGATAAGTATCGAGGTCGATAAGCATAAGATATTATTTGATTGGTAAAGAAGGAGGCATTTTCGACTCTATCTAGCATATGAAATAGTGGTTAGCTATAATCATTGTCTTTCTCTGTCAAGACTTTATATCGTGTTTTAAGTTTTTGATAGGGACAAGATATACAGTTCGGTTTTTGCCGTACATCTCGCAGGTGCATTGCTCCAGAATATTACACATTTCGGATGCCTTTTTTTAAAAGTTGTGAAAAGGATGGATGAATATAAATTTAAGCCCTAAATATATGAAAACGATCGGACAATAAGCACCGAAATTATTCAAGAATTAATTTCCCAAAGTATGGGTTAGCCCCATAATTGAGATTAAGAAGAAACACAGCTAGATAGAGGGTATCTGAAGTTGACTTTTATATAAACAAATATAATATACCCTAATTTGGGATAGCTATAAGTGCCTGACCTGCTAGCTACAGGGTATTTTGACTTTTATTGTTTTATAAAAAAATGTAAATATATGTAAATGCCCGACATTCACACAATGTCGGATTATATTTTGCATAGCTTACCTCAAAGCTGACAATGCCGCTGTGATCCTGATCCAGGGTATTAAATACATAATGTGCGTATAATGTCGGATTTGCTGTAGTTGTTGTTTTTTGTTGCAAATGAAAACGAGAAAGAAACACAATGTTAAAAGTGAGTGTACAGCTGTTAAAAGCCAAGACATAATAGTCTAGGATTTTAACTTTTAAGTTGAAAACTTTTGATTATATGTTCTTACAATAACTGTCAACACTACACACAACAATCAAACACACAAATATAAATATATACAGATATGGCGCATTAGATATACAAGCAATTTAATTTGCAAGTGCTTTGTCATCGATAAACTATGCGAGAACTGGGAACAGTGGGAATGGAAGATGTTTAATGGAATTGGGAATGAGCATATGAATGGGAAACATAACCAAAAACTGAAAGTAAAAGTCAAAGCGAAAGCGCAAGTAAAAGCTCAAGTGAAAGTGAAAGTGAAGTTTTGTGTTTGGTTGGGATGCCAGCAAAAAGATGGGCACATGCTGCCGCTGCTGTGTCATTGTGGGGTCAAAACTTTTATGGGGGTCCGACCCCGTTGTCCCCATTGTCCTTCAACGAACACTGTGTACACTCTGTTGTTGCAACAAAACTTTCATTTTGTCAGCCGCAAAGTTTTTGTTTCTCGCTAAAAAGTCAACATGGCCCGAAACGGGACTTTCGACTTCTTAGCAACGACCCCTCGTGTAGTTGTCTGAAGAAGAATGTGTTCAGCTAATTATGTGTGCATGTCTGCGTGTGTGTCTGTGTGTCCTTTTGAGAGTGTGCAAGTGTGCTGATAAGTTGTCAAATGTTTAGCAAATGATGCCACATGTGTGTAAGGCCAGATACCAAATATCCTGTATGAGCATCATACCATTAGGGTATACTGTGCGTGAGGCAACGCATATGGATAGTAAACTGTTACTCTTGACTGACTGATTGACTGATTGAATTATTGACTGACTGAATTGAATGATTAACTAATTGATTGAATGTTTGACTGACCGCCTGAAACATTGTCTGATTGCATAACTCAATGATTGAATGACTGACTGAATGTTTGACTGACTGACTAAATGATTGACTGATTGGCTGATTAACTGACTGATTTTCGACAGATATGTATATTTAACTCATGACTAATTGACTGTCCAACTGTCTGACTTATTTACTGATTGATTGACTGACTGACTGCCTCGCTGCCTCGCTCAGTTTCACATTCGTTATTGAAGTTATTGTATCAAAATTAATTTTATGCTTGTGAAAAATGAGGGAAAGGTTATATGTGTGCAAGCTTAAGTTGAGTCGGCTTTGCATGTATTTTTTAAAGCTTGACTTGTTATATTAAATTATATTATTTGTTTGCTTGCAATTTGATTAAAGCTGCTTTTGACACAATTCTTTAAAGAAATTGGCGCTCACAGGTTGACAAGCAAAAGTGTTTTTCTTTTCCAATTGGGTCCAACCTTCCAAGTGCAACTGATTGGCCTACAACTAATTATAGGGTGTTTACTGGTTATATCAACGTATTGTTGTTGAGGCACGTGCTACCCGCCTGCACAAAAAGAGCTCAGTTAAGCAAATGTACGCTCGAGGCCTTTTTAAAGCCAGTTTTACTGCGCAAAGCCCCAACGTCGGGCACTGGCTGCAAATATCTTTATCTGGCCATCACATTACATTTAGATTATTGCCAGGCAGCAGCCGCTCATTTGTACGTTTCTTTTTTTATGATTATGACTTGGTTCCAGGCTCCACTTACAGCTGCAACAACGAGTGCAACAGCCCGCAGCTCGAGTTCGAATCCAGCTCTTTATGGCTGCACAATTTTTACACCTCCTTTCGGAGTCGAAACAAAAATGCAGTTCATAAAATGGAAACTCGCTCATCTCCTGGCAAATGTGTTGCAAAGAGCAACTTTATTGATGTGCGCGGTTTTCGCCTTTATGTCATGTGGAAGGAGGTGGTTGTGGATGGGGGCGTGGCAATTGTAGAGGGCGAAGGTTTGTGGACTGTGGGGTTGCCAAAAATGTATTTGTCAAAGTTTATTGTCGCCGTTTGATACTTAATGTGTTTTTATGACGCATGACGCACAGACACGCCCACACAGCGCTCACAATGCGGGGGCAAGGTCAAAGCTCAAAGGCAAAGGCAGCAGCTGTTGTTGTTGTCGTTGTCAATGTTGCTGTCAAAAATGTGTTTTTTTTTTTTTTTTTTTTTGCTTTGGCCAAATCAAAATGACTGCAAATGTGTCATGTAAAAATTGTTATGAAATTTGCGCTGAAAATTCGCAAAACGAAAAACAGGAAAAGCGCACATGGAAAACGAAACAATGTGTGTGTGTGTTTTCTGTAATGGTTGGCGGGGTGTTGGTGGATGGAGGGGGGGGGGGGGGGGGGTTGGGTATAAGAGGGAGCGCACGCAGATAGATCGCTGCCGGGCAACTGCAGCGGCTTTTGAGTTTCTGACGGGCACCGAGACTGGAACCGGGAGCAAAAGTGATAAATCACCAACTTTGATGATGATGTTTTTTTTTTCTTGCCATTTTTTGGTTGTACTTTCTTTTTCTTTTGGCTTGGCTGTCGCCTCGTATTAGGTTGCGCCTCGACTCACATCGTGGCTGCGGAGTATTCGGGTGGCAAAGCGGCTTATCAAAATAAAAAATGATTTCATTATTTATTTTTCATCAGATAGCTAAGGCGTAGCATATCTCGTGTTCCCTACGCTTTTTTACAAGCATTTCCGCCTGTCGCGGCCGATGCTTGTTTGTCAGCTTACCGCTACAGCAACGCCTCCGCCCCTTGTCATCGCCCTCATTCTCGTTCTTGCCTTTGTCCTTACCCAACGTGATGCTCAAGCTGCTCTTCCAACTCAAGGCCCATGTTGCTCCAAGTCCTCACATCCATTACCATGTTCCATGTTTTTGTCTGGGTTGAAGTTCCCCGTTCCCCGTTCCCCGTTCCCTGTTCCTCGTGCCCAGTTTCCCTCTCTCAAAGGCAGCCAAATAAGTTTATTATAATAATTTAGTGCGAAACATGTGTAGCAATATTTCTCTCTCTTTTTTGTGTTCGTCGTGACCAGAGGGGATTCCTGCATGACGTGCGTCGTCTCAGTACAGACAACAACAACAACAACAACAACAAAAACTAAAACCTACACAATCATGGATTTTAAGTAGAATTTATTGGGGAGCACACAAGCGTACGAGTATACATATTTCTTTGAACATGCATGCAAAAGTATGTATAGTCAAAGTGGATTCCATAGTTTCTACATATTTTGCACTGGTTTCGGGCTACATTAGACCACCGGGTAGCCAAAGGCAAAGCTCTGACGCAAATTTTGGATTGCTACTTAACCAGGCAATTGAAAGTGAGTTGCAGGATTGCTTTCAATGTGAATAATTGGAAGGGCATGTGTCTATTTTACGTAACTAGGAGGTTTTATTATTAACCAAGACCGCGTATTTTGTTCTAACCTATATTTGTAGACCAGATAAAACTAGTTGCTATGATTCAAAACACTTGAAAGGTCAAATAATTATTTTGGGATTAAAGTTATAACAAAGAAATGTGGAATTATCGGTTGGTCGGACGTTATAAAGGCGCCTGCATTAACCCCTATGCTTGTCTATGCTTGTGCCAGCGACGAGTGAGTCTGTGTATGTGGAGGGTTAAGTATTTTCTTTTAAATTTCCATTTGGTGCATGGCTTAGTTAGTCAGTCCCTCAATTGGTTGGGCAATCAGTCAGTCAGTCAGTCAGTCAGTCAGACAGTCAGTCAGTCAGTCAGTCAGTCAGTTACTTAGTTAGTGTCCAGCAGCTCATTATCCACGCCTCAATTTGGCGCGACGCAGCCTGGAATGCTTTGTGGCAAGGCTTTTATTTATGGGTAGAAGCCGCTTGGTAAAAAGTAAATGAGCAAATTTACTTGTTATACAAACGAGGTCAAGTGGGTGGATTGGGTTAAACTTGAATGGCTGCTGCCTTCGCCGGCCCTGCTCAGCCCAGTCGCGACTTGTGAAACATGATTTTGCTTTTTATACTTTTGCTAATTTGCACTCTCAACATTTCAGTTTTACAAGCCAAGGGTCCGCTCGTATTCGTTGTGCCTGGGACTCGAACTGGGACTGTGGCTGGTGCTCGGGTGGGGGGGCTGCTGATGCTTAAGCAAAGGCACAGAAAATTCGCCTTTCTCTCGCACAACTCTTTGGGACCCTCAGTTCATGTTGCTATGCATCTATTTATCAATGCCTACCCTCTCCCCCATGCAGCTGCTGTGCATAGCTGGCATTGGCCTTTGTTTTGGCCACTGACAAAAGAGCCAATAATAACGATAATACATGGTTGTACATGCCGGCATTGACAGCATGAAGCTGCCATTCCTCTGGCCATCGTCAATGCCCATAAAGCCGGCAATCAAATTGGCAATAGGAACGGGTGCCATTGAGCCAATTGCGGGCGTCATTTGTATGCGGGCCATCCAGACGCTACTCGATGCTTCATGTTCGATGCTCGATGCTCACTGGATTGATAATAGATAACAATAAGAGTCAAGTGAGCCGATGGCCACAGTTATGGGTTGGGCCAGAACATTAATGGGCATGTCAAGGATTATGTTTCGGTTAGTTTGGCATTCAAAATTGATAAAGATTTGGCTTTTTGGCCTGCCCCATGGCCTGCTCACACGCTTGTTGCCAGTTTTGAATGAAATGGCGTAGTAATGGACTGAACATGGTATTAAGCACATGCAATTTATAGAAACATTTGATGTTATTTTTATGTAATACTTGCATTTCTACACTTTTTTCTAATACTCTTATAATAAAAGAAAAATACAAATGTGGAGAAAATGCATTAAAACACATATAAATGCCCTTGATATATTATAAAACCGGTTATTATGCCTTGCTTCGATTGCAAATTCATTTAGGGTATATTAGTTTTGTGAAAATATATAAAATACTCAATAGGAAACATCTCCTATAACATATAGTATACAACGATATATTTTCAGTCTAGAAGTGTTTGTCTGTCTGCCGTCTGGGCTCGGGCTCGGAATTTAAAAGAGATATATGCAGTTCTTACTATGTATATGTTCTCAATTAAGTCTTAAATATTCTGACAATAATCTGACAATAATAAGCGTAGCACGCCTCAAGCATGTTTTTGCTTTAGTGTGGAGCCTACCTAAATTATATTTTATAGTACACAAATATTATATGCAACGGATAATTTGGCAACTCCTTAAAGAGCCTCTTCTAATTCTAATTAAATTTTGTTATTATTATTTTTAATTTAATCTCTAAATAAAATAATATGTACATTTCTCTGAGCTCTAAAAGAAAATGGAATTCAATTTGTTAGGCTAAAAGCTTGTAGCTTTTGTTTTCTATGGTGTCAGTGACTATACTTTTGTTCAGTGTACACACACATAACTACTAATTATCGCAATTGTTATCAAAAATTTGTTATCGTTATTGCTACTATGTCTGTGTATTCGATAATGTGAGTAAACGAAAAACAAGTGGCATGTGTGCAGGCTTTAGCAATTCACTAGGTCAAGCCACAAATGTTAACGAAACAAAATATACTGTACCGCACGAACCTCCCTGTGGAAAGAACTGAGAGTAGATCACTTTGAAGGTGTCCTCCTTGACGACGCCCGTTGGGCATTCAGCCTTAAAACCGCGATAAATTCGTTTGATTTCGTCCTCTGTGAAGCGGGTGGCCCGACTCAGGGCGCTCAGCGAGTCTGGTCTGTAACGAGCCGGCGTCTCAAATTCTTCTAGCTCGGAATCTGCAAAGTCACAGGCAGACCAAAGCACAAGAAAAAGAGTGGGAGAAAGAGAGAGAGAAAGAGAAAGAGAAAAACAGAAAGAGTGAAAGCGATGCATGAGTGAATATGTTTATCAAGCAAAAGCTGTGGGATTTATTATTAAATTTTTAACTAAATTGCAAGTAAATGAAATTAAATTAAATACATCATTAAATTGACTTATAGTTTATATCATGGGTATTTTGCATTTTTAGTTGGGATAAAAACACAAGGCCCCAGTCGAAATCAGAAAAAAACAAATACAAATAACTTTTGCACAAAAAATATTAAAAACATTCATATTGCCTTTTTTAACTTTGAAGGCGAGAGTTCGGCAATTCACTAAGTTTGCTCTGTGTAATATCCTCTAAAAGAATATTAACAAGTAAGAGGTTCTAATCGAGAGCTCCCGACCAGGGAATACCCTGAACCTCTTATTTCAACACTAAATGCAGCTCGCGCAACGCACTCGTTTAAAGTAATAAAGATAAAAAAAAAAAATTCTCAAAACAGGGTTCGAACTCCCAACTGACTGCATTACTTGCTGATGACTCTACTCAGCAGCACACAATAGGGCCTTTACAACAACATCAATAATTAAGTATTATCGAGTAAAAAAACGAATTAAAATAGCAGCACAGAAAACAGTCAGAAATGCAATGCTGTTGATAGAATTTGAAGCAGACGAGTAAAACACATAACTTTTGGGGTTTTCTTAACCGATCTTAATAAAATATTCTACAGTACTGTACCATACAGAGTATACAGGATGGAATATTTGTGTATTCTCATAAAGTAATATAAGTTGGGTTATTAATTTGATTTATAGCTCTGTGGTGGTAGCGGGGTTGTGGCGATAGGTATAAAATTAAGGATACTTAATATATGTATATATAATACTCTAGAAGCAACATATCAAGCCTGATGACTATAGCTTTTAATATATACCCAATTTTTTCAAAAAACAGGATGTGTATATTAATTTTTATCGATTGCTTGACAGACCGACAGACAGACAGACAGAGAGACGGACATGGCTTGATCGACTCGGCTATTTATGCTGATCAAGAATATACATATTTCTTGGGGACGGATATGCTTCTTTCTGCCTGTTACATACATTTTCAGAAATATATAATATCCTCTTTACCCACTTTTAATGGGTTCAGGGTATAAAAATTGCTGTCAATATGCAAAATTTGCTCGCCTATTCGAACAAAACTTTTCTGGTAATTGGCAAAATAAGCTATGCCCATTGGTGGTACAGTGAAAACATTCTTGTGTGAACAGAGCCTGCCAGGTAAGTTTGTCCGAAGGCAGGAGAAGGAGCATGTGTGCTGACTGATTTTTAATTGTTTGGAGTGTTCGTTAGAAATGAGTTTACTGTACGTTGCGTATGAGTGCAGTTCATTTTTAAATTGTAAGCTTTAAGTAATTGCCTCTCGGCTTGTGTCAGACTCCTAAATGTTTATTTTTCCTCATATTTCTGTCATTAGCCCGAAGGGGGACTCCAATATTCCACTCGAATGAGGAGTTGCCCTATCCACTGCCCGTCTCTCGTCTGTCCTTCTGTCTACCTGACAGCTTGTTTGCCTACGAAGTCAGCTACATGCACAGACCCACTACGAACACGAAAACACACACACGCACACACAAGCGCACAAACATGACGTGCAGAAGTTGGCGCGATTTTGATCTTTTGAGTCGCTTCTAGAGCTGAATTGACTTGCAACTTCCTAAAGTACTTTGCCTGTCGCTGGCAAAACTTTTTCAGGCTTTTCATGCAGTTTTTGACGTTTCTTTTTTTAATTTTTTTTTTTTTTGTTTAGTGTAGGCTTGGCAAAAGCCCTGCAACTTTTGAGCATGACAAAGCGACTTTGCAGCAGGTAAATGCCTCTTTTTGGCTTTGCATAAAAAAAATAAATCTTTGTGGCTGCTGTGGAGCCTCAATTTTGGTTAATTAAAAGTTTTGCCCAACTCATAAGCATATATACAGACAGCAGCTGCAGGCAGTCAGCCAGTTAGTGTATGCATGTGTGTGTGTATGTGTTTGTGCATGTGTGTGTGTCTGAGCCCAAAAGCAGGCAACACTTTTCACGCGCTTGACAAATGGCTGTTTAAAAATGCATGAAACACGAGCAGCCAGTGAATTGTGGCAGTGCCTGCCGGAAGGGGAGAGATGGTTGACGAGGGAAGAAGACGGGCGTGTGTGTGTGAGTGTGTGTGTGTGTGCGGGGCAGCGCATCAACTATTTGTTAGCCACGCCCACATTTAGCACAAAGAAACGACGCGAATATGCGCCCGCTTTGGCATGGCTTGGTTAGCGCCTGGAGTCAGACTTGCAACTACCCGTCAATCTGAGCCCTGCTGGGTATATTCCAAGCGTAAAATATATGTTTGTGTATATATACACAAAGCGATCAGGCAATGTACTCTACTGATTTATATTTGCTTATGCCTGTCGGAATAAAGATTTCGGAAGCTAAACAAAAACTAAACTAAAGAAGTCCAAAAATTATCTGAACAGCATATTCGGCATTTTCGGGAATTTTGAAGCTGCCGGGTATATTACAGTGTATGCTCGGCTGACTGCAATATTCTTAAATCCTGCATGCATGCCTGGTGGCATAAACCACACACACACACACGCTCAGAGACGCACACACACACACACACATGCATATGCAAATGCATTGTTTAATATGCATTTTCTTTTTTGGACAAAAACGGATAAAATAGAAAAATAAATTTCAGCGCCTGCAGCAAACGAAAAAATATACACAATATATAAATGTATATATATATTTATATGTATATATATATATGTATATGTATTTATGCATATAAAAATGTATATGAGTATTTCAAATATTCTGTATAGAACTGGCGTTACAATGTGGCCTTTTAATAGCCCCTTTTGCAGATTGTATCCCTTATTGAAAATATGAGAAAATTATTAATAAACAGGCTTTGACTCTACTCTGATCTTAAGTATTTCAAGTACACTTTGGATATTTTCATGTATATATTATTCAAATCTTTACTAGCAAAATATGTAACGCATGAAGCATGTGTCACCGACCAACTAATGTATTAACATTCGAGTTTATATTCGTCTTGTTGTTGCAGGCCGTACTTATATTGGAATCGAACGGATCGGATAACTATATCATTTAGCTGCCAGACAGCTTTATGGACTACTTTTCGGTTTTCTAATATATCGTGACTAAACTCAGTAATTATATGTTTTACTATTCTCCCAACATATCTTCAAGATCGAACTACTACTTATATGTATGGATTCTATAGCAACAATCGTTCGGCAAGCTTTAACTGTGTCTGGTAAGTTGAAATCTAATTTGACATATTTCTGTGATTTAACTTGCAATCCTTTAAGACATACATATGCTTATATTAGCAATATGGACAAACGTACATTTAAGCAGCTGGAAAGTATTGTATTATGATTACTGTATGAAGTATTCAGTATAATTGTATTGGCTAGAAGATGCACTTGTAACGCTTTGCATGCATTTACATAGTTTCCTGATGCTCAATTCATATCGGTCCATAAACGTGGCTTCTATAACCAGATACTGGCCAGGTTGCGCTGTGCCAGCTGTCAGATTCATGGGATTAGGAGCTTTATTTTCATATGGGATGCAAGTTTAGCATTTACTTGAGCTTCTTCTGCTTCTTCTGCCGTGCCTGATGTCTGTTTTTTATGGCTTGCAGATATATATATGTGGCCATTTTCACACTCGAGTGCGTTTGCATTCGTAAACTTAGTTTTAGATATCTTTAGCTCTTAGCTGCCAGGTTGGCAGCTATAGCCGGCTTGCCATTTACCAGAGTTTTTAGTGTTAGCCAGAGCTGCCAGGCTGTGCAAATGCTGTTGATGAAATGCATTAATTTGAATATATATTCATGCGCTGTTTGTTTGGCTCCAAAATTTAGTTTTTGTAGTTGCCCCAAGTGACATATGCATGTGTGTGTGTGTGTCTCTCTCTGTGTGTGCTTGCGTTTTATTATCAGCTTGCAAACAAAAAGCAGCCGAAAATATTCACACAAAATGTCTAAATTATTTGCGAGCATAACAAAGCTATTTGTGCGACCTCGGCCCACCAGTCAGGCAGCGGCTCATATGGGGTTCGCTGTGGGGTGGTTCTTTTGGTGTCGGGTTGGCTTTGGGGGCTGGCAACCAGACTAAAAGGGGCTCACAATTCAACAACAGCACCTAGCCCCCAAAATCAGGCCACAATTTTGTTGCTGCTGCTGCTACTGCTTCTGCTGCTTTTGGTGTTTGTTTTTTTCATTTTCACTGCTGCAGCTGTTTCTGCCGCTGCTGAGGTCAAGGTGTGAAGAACGTGAAAACATGCCGCTCATGTGTGTGTGTGTGTGTGTGTGTGTGTGTGTGTGTGTGGGCTTAGTTGACACGTTAGGGGGCGTGGTTAGTGGTCAGTGGCGTTGCTGGCAATTACCAACCATAACAATATACAAACCGCGAGCGAAGCTTCAAGCCGTCGCTGCATGTTGTCATTGTAATTGCAGATAAAGCACACACACATACACACACAAGCACATATGCACAAACACACACACACACACACGTACTTAGTGAAATGCGGCTGTTGTAGCGAACCCGAACAGCGCCCCTTGCAAACTTGCCATGTTGCATGCGCTCGCATAATAAGTTCCTGTTTATCTCGACTCGGTTTGTTTGTCTGTTTGTTTGTTTTCTGCACTGCTGCCGCTGCCGCTGCTGCTGCTGGTGCTGCTGCTGCTGCTGCTGCTGTGTGTGTGTGTGGCTGCGCAGGTGTCATGTTTCCGTTTCCGCTGCAGCACTCGTGAAGCAGCAGCCGCCGTCAGCCAAGCGCAAATATTTTTGCATGCTGTTGCAAACCACATCAGCGTCTGTATGTGTGTGTGTGTGTCTGGGCGTGGGTGCGTGTGCTTGCGGTTGGATGTGTGGGTAATGCAGC